CTCGCACCGTTGTCGTTCTTCGTAAAAACACGCAGTCGCGGCTTGATGGACCCGTTGTTGATGACGTTGAACGGGTTCGTGCCGCCCCAGCCGTACATGGTCTTTCCGTCGGTGCTCGTCCACAGCGCCCCCATCCGCGTGTAGGGCGCGTCGTCGCCGTGGGGGATGCTCTCGAAGCTGACGTCGCGCGTCGTCCAGGACCGGTCCAGCGCGACGGCGAGCGTCGTGTTGGTCGGGTTCGACCACGACCCCACGCGCTGTCCGTTGGACATCTGCGACAGCTCGCCGCCCTCGATGTAGAGGTAATCGCCCAGAACCGCCACCGCGTGGCCCTCGCGCCGTAAAAAGTTGTCCCGGCTGGGTACCTCGACCGACTGCGCCCGCGCCTGCACCGCCAGCAGGCAGACCAGGACGAGTGCTGTCGCCATGGGGTGCCTACGCTGGCCTCGACGGCTGGTGGGAGAGGCAGCACTCATTTCGGATCGAAGAAAGGCGTGTAATTGTCATTAGGATTAGACGCGAAAAAGAAAGAAAGAAGAAAAACAAGAAGACGTAGGGGAACATCGAGAAAACATTATCGCCGCCATCGCGCACTAAAAAACAAGCATCGCCGCCGCCCGCTAGTAAGACAGGGGATACACCAGCTGCAGCCAACCCCAAGCCGCCCCGTAAAGGACCCCAGTTACAACCCCTGCAGCTGACTGCTGGCCTCACAGAACGATCTTCATTCCGCGACGACCTCGCTTTTTTAGACCCTCCGCATCAGTCCTGGTGCGACTTTCCCGAGCTTGCGATTGGATCTCTTCCTCACCATCGCCACCCTCAAACACGGGAGGCCGCTGCACACCAGCAGACACATGAACGCATGGCGAGACTTAGATCAGACGCTCGCCGTCTGCTCCGATTTCAGTGTTATGCTTCCGTGCTTCCGTGCTTCCGTGCCAGCATCTAGACTGCCTAGCCAGGGCCGTCAGCCCAATTTCGGGCTGGGTGTAGGCTTAATTTCCTGCGTAGTGACGCCAACAGGCGCTCGAACCCCATTCTTTCCCATCAATGGAAGCATCTCGCGGAACCACGATCCACTCTTCCTCGCACTCGAGAAGTCCGAGATCAGGGACACCGCATTTCCACGCAATCTTGGAAAAGCCCGCCAAATTTCCAGGTTCCCAAACCCGTCGGACTAGTCCGTCGGCCACCGGCCGAGGGCAGAGAGCGGATAGCATCGGCTTCCATAATAGAGCATTATTTGGCGACGATGATGAGGAAAATAGTCGTTGTATAGCTGTTATTAATGGCATAAATTCTATAGTCATTTCGCATTCCCGTCGTCCGACATCGGGCTCACCGGTTCCAAGACCGGGAGCCGCAACGGGCTCGGCATCGTGGGGTTTGACGCTGCCCGATTCCTCTTGGGGCTCCGTGGTGGAGGCTCTCGTGGCGGCTCCTGCTCCTGCTGCGCATCGTCTTCAAGGCTTGTTGCTGCGACGGGCACAGACGAAGCTGCGGGCTCGACGATGTCGCCGGCGCCCTCCGCCGTAAATGGCTCCACGCCAGCAGAAGCCCTGCCATCTGGGGATCCAAGTCTGGGCTTGGAAGAGCTCGGCATGTGAAAGGAATAAGGCCCCCGCGTCGGGGACTTGCGCCCCTCCATGTGATGATCATACCCCGTCGGCGGAGGCGTCACGTCATTCACCTCCTCGCCCGTCCGCGGCGCTTGTGTGCGTCCCCGAGAAACCGGGGCCTCAGTCGCCACGGCCTCATCGCCATGCCGGATCCATTGCAGATGCACCGACGCCCGGCGCCCCAGCGGAGATGCGTCTCGTGAAGGCATGGGCCGCGCCGAAAGCACCTGCTCGACCGTCGGTAGCATGCCACTGCTCCGCGCTGTCGCCATATATGTCTTGTAAGAACGTACATGCGACGGTGGGGGCGGCGACGGGGTTTCGCTGCGAGACGGGTGCATCGTGTGGCGGCCGTTGTCCGGGAGTGCAAGCAAGAAGTCATCGTCGTCCTCCTCAACCAAGTCCCTATGACGTCCGTGGCCACCCCCGAGTCTCAAGGCGGCACTGGCGTCCACATCACCCAGCCTCGACGCCGACACGGAGGAAGTTATGCCCCCCTCGTTCAGCAGTTCGTCGCGCAAGCGAGCCCCAGCCATAAGCATGACCGCCGCGTCCAGTCTGTCGCCTATCGTGCGCGAGCAGGCCGCAACGGCCGCGAGCGCGAGCAACACTGCTAGCTGCAGGGCGAGAAGCAAAGACAGAATGACTTGAGCAGCGAGCCCGGCGTCACGAGGCTTGACAACAACGGTGCCTTGTGCGCCGTATACGCGGCGCGATCCGTCGGCGGCTGTATTACCCTCCTGGCCAGCCTCACCCTGCATCGCCTCGGCGGTCAGGGCCAGCACAGCCTCGTTGGCCAGGTACATGCCTGCAGAGATTGCGGCTTCGGCGCTGTTGCGTCCTTGTTCCGTGGCCGGATCGAGCCTGGCAAACCATCCAAGGACAAGGCGCATGATGCGATCATTTTCGGCGCCGGCAGGGACGCTTTCCACGTTATCGCACTCGGTAGTTGATGAGTTTTGCAAAGGCCAGAGGGAGGCAAAGGGAAGGCCGCGCGAGCACATGCCTCTCAGCACAGCTTGGCCCTGGCCGGTAATCCAGGTCTTGTTTGCAAGATCCAGGAAGGAGCCGTTGCCGAGAGCCGATAGGAACGTACTCATCAGCGGACCGGGCGTGCGGAGGTTGCGAGTGCCAAACGGGGATGCGACGGCTGGGAACGGCGGCCGTGGTTGGCCAGACGATTCGGCGGAGTCACTAGGACACATATCGGTTAGCTATTTTAATTGACTAACCGCAAGACAGAACGGCGGATAGGCTAGACGTACGTCTCACCAGGAACGGCGCCGTTGGGCAGCCTGTCACTGAATCCCTGCTCCTGAAGCTCGGCAGCGCTGGGCCACTTGGCAAGGAGAGGGCCGGGGCGACCTCCGTTGTGCTGGTTCGGCAGCTCAAAATAGCCCCTTGTCGTCTCGGCGTCGCACCTTGCTGTGAAGTTGGCGCGTGGCGACTGCATCGTGGAGTCTCCCATGTTTGGTCCCGCCCAGCTGGCCAGGAAGACGTGCTCCTGGATTGTCTGGGAGTTTCGGCTGAGGCTCCAGGCGGCAGCGCCATGCGCGCCCGGCACACAGAACTTGACCGTCCCATCCCCGCTTCCCAAGGTCCCCGTGAGCGGCTGATCGCCAGGGCAGCTTTTCGGATATTCTTCCACCTCGACGAGGGAACATTTGACTGTTGAGCTGAGCCTCATGGCGTGTTGTCGCAGGACACCCGTGTTAATGCCGGCCGGGACAGCAGACACAAAGAAGGGGTTTGGGGAGCCGCGGGGGGCGAGACTGGCTATGGAAGTTGCAGCCTTCTCGTCTGATCCCTCCTTCCACAGGTGCCGCTGCGTCTGCGTCCTGCTCTCGCTCTCGAGCCTGCTAGCGACACGGGCTGTCACCAAGTCCCGGGGGAGGCGATCGATGTCGGCGGGCTCGGGGTCAAAGCCACCCAGGGAGAAAGCACGAGGCAGGGCAGCGTCGCAACCCGGCCCTGTGAACTGTCGGGAGGGGTCCTCGAGGCACGAAGCAACAGTGATGGCCTCGGGAGCAGCGACGATAGCCCTAGTAAAGGGCAAGACGAGGCCTGTGGTTTTGTTTGCCGTCAGGGTTGAAACAATGGAAGGCAAAGAGAAGACGACCCACTATAGATGACGAGAACAATCCCCAGCACAGACAGTTTTGTCGGGAACTTTGTCGTCAGCCTCGCCCAAGACCCGTCGGCCAGCGACAGAAGCTGGCGGACGTTGAGGTTCTGTGCGGCGCTCCTGCGTTGGGCGACCACTACAGCGGCATGGGACAGCACGGCTGACACGACCGGGATAGCGAGAAGAGCGGCGATTGTGTCTAGGGCGCGAATGGCCGTCATCCAGCTGCCGACAGATGCCAGGTCCGAAGGCGAGAGACGACCCCGGGCGTCTTGATAGGTCGGAGCACCGGGTAGGATGGGTCTTGTGCTCAGGACACAAGTGGCGGCCCACGGCACAATGGTGACGGGTATGTAGAGGGCGACGAGGATCAGGGTAGAGTAATGGCGGGTTTGCCGCGGTGCCCTCGTCGGGGCAGCATGGTGCGCATCGCCTAGTATTCCCATGACAGGTTGTAGACTGCGTATATCGATCAAGGCGGATGGGCAGACAGCACGCCTTGGCAGCTCACTCCGGACAAAAGAAACGGGTGCTTGGCGCACTTGCGAGGAATTAAGAACGGGAAGATGCCGAGACTGAAGAGCGGGAAAAGGAGAAAGGATAGCAAAGCCAAGACTGCCATGGCAGCGCAGCAGCTTGCCGCACTGTTATAGTATCTAAAATCATCACAGAAGGAATCCCGGTGTGCAACGTGTTGGCGAAGCAGCGGCAAGGCGCAAGGGCGGCGAAGGCGGGAGTTGGGATTTGGATCATGTTTGGGCACTCCCTGCAGACACTCCTGCTCACCAGGGCTTGCTAAATGGCCAAGCCAGGGGGATTGTCCCACAGGGCTGGCGCAGGTAAGAGCGACCCATGGTGATGACCAGCCTGTTGCTTGCGAATGCCGCCATTTTTGGTGAGCCAAGGTCGCAAAATGGCAGAGGAGAGCCGACCGAAGGATGATAGCGCCGGTAGCGCTGCTGAGGTTGCTGAGCTGCGCCTCGTCAGCACGCGCTTGTGTGAGCAGGAGGCCACTAATGTGCGCCCGTTGGGCTAGGGGTGGGCAATTTTTAGCAACAGCGCGGATGTTGCCCCACCTCGCGGTCAAGCCACAGTGTGCAGGGCGCAGTAAATGCGGGCACGTGGCGGGAAAGATGGTGCTTCTCTGGCACGTGTCCGGCAGGCAGGGAATTGCAAAAGGAAACAGCGTCCCATGTTGAGTGAGGGAAGGAAACGCGGGGTTGCGGGGTTCTAGCCACAAAAGCAAAATCTCGCACCCAAGGCGGGACTCGAACCCGCAGCCTTTGGATAGCCTTCCGCATCAACCGAACCATGCTGGTTAAACAAGTCTTAGAAGTCCAACGCTCTACCATTGAGCCACCCGGGCCAATCAAGTGATTGTGCCATGCCGGTTCGTTGTGTGGTTGATATGGCGGGGAGTGGTGTTTGCGAGTGGGCACGTTCTGGACCCACAAAACAACCACTGTCGACGCCAACCTGACCCGCGATGGGGACATGTCCATACCAAAAAACAAGACGATTGGGAGCTTGAAGGCCGTCTTGGATCTTGATGGGGACGGCATCCATTGGACTCGGTCGACCTCGGGTTATCAAGCAGTCGATTATGCTGGATCTGCGCAGCCGTGGAATCATCGTGATGACGCCAAGTTCGCCATCCCCGACTTCTCCCGCGACCACCGCCAATGCCAACACCTAGTCCCCTCCTAGACATGCAGGCACGGCAATGACAGAGGCCCATTCACTCCATTTTACCGCCGTGGCATGCATATCTCTATTCTTGGACGGCGTCTTGTGGAGCCGGGCCTCGATATCGGGTATGTTCGGACGCTCCCCGGTCTCTTTCTCCGCAGTCTTCCCCAATCCTCCGCACCTCTCCCCGTTCTCCGCATCACCTCCGCATCACCTCCGCACCACCTCAAGCCTCAAGCGGGATAGTTGGTTTCGTGGTGCTTCGATTCGGGAGGACGAGTGGCGCAACGAGGCAGCCGGGCGGCACAGTTCTTGGCCAGCCATCGCCATCCACCGTCGAAACATCAGAGGGCAAAAAACGCGCACTCGAAGTAGATGATAATGTGACAGCCAAGTCTGCGTCCTGAATCAACAGATTACTTGGCATATGAGGACGAATTACACCGCTCCCAATATCTGGTAGGCGTAAAGCCCTGGTCCTTGTAGGAATGTCCCAGCGGAAGGGTTGAGGTAGCATTTCGTTTCGACCAGAACGCCGGATTATCTGCCCAAAAAAGAAAAAGAAAAGATGGCAGTTGTCAGGGCAGGGTGCCAAGTCAAACAATTGTGCACACACAGACGGATGCTTGGACGAAGGCTGAGATCTGCTGCTGTCAAAGCTCACCCACAACCGCGGGTGCCGCGATACCCCGGCAACATGGAAATGAATACGGGTTAACAAACGAGCAGGAAATGGACCCTCTTGGCATATGGACAAGGAGTTGTGATGGGGCCAACTGGGGAAGGAAAAAAAAAGGGTCCGCTCCGTGGGGAAGTGAGTGGATTCGGGCAGGCAAAATAAAGTTCCTGGAAGTCCAGGGAGCAAAAAAGCCCGACTCAGATTAAGCCGGCCCTGAATCGAGGCTCGAGCTGGATGGTGGGCAAAATCGCAGATGCGGTCCAGACGGATGCCAATGCGATGACATGCAGTCGAGACATACAGCAAGGCCGGGGCGCATCTAGGTATGTAGGTACCGTCTATCAAAAGACCGTCTCGGGAGCAATCCGGGAGAATTCTCACGACGCTAGGGAAAACACATATCCGGCTGTTTCCTTGGCGTGGGCGAGCCTGGTTCTGAGGAATTGGTCATGTGCCGAGCTGCACCCCCACCCATAGCGCGGCGAGCTGGCGTCGGCAGTGGGTGTCGCGTGTCGTGGCCGCCAGTAAAAAAAAACTAACTAGAGCATGCTTGGCCCGGCCGGCAGCACTGGTTGCCTCGCCAAGCCGGCGTTGGCGCAGGGGGCGCGCAGTCTTGGCTCTTGGCGGGCAGAACAAGACGGCAGTGGCATTGCTTAGCCGTTAGCGGCTCTGGCTGGTGAACGACGTCGGTCGAGTGGACGAAATTGAACCGAACAAAAGTATAAATGCGGAGTGGAAGAGACGTCGTCGACTTAATATGTGAGAGAAACAAAATTAAGATCCACTGCCACGTGCAGAGACACGAACAGAAAGGGGAAAGAAAATAGAAAAATAAAATACAGATTGCTACCGGTTCTCGGGGGGAATCCATTTTTTCTGCCTGGCCGGGTTGTTGAAGGGTTCCATCGCAGTGATACTGGGTCCAGTTAAGGTCCAGTTAAGGCCCTGCACCTGAAATCCCACGGGGAAGTCGGTTTCCCCGCACGAGAAGGGCTGGGTTTCCTTGACTCGCAAAACTCTTGCTGCTGACTGGACCATCCGGCACGTTTCTGTGATGACGGGACACAAGCAGCGGCGGCGAAGTGCTGACCGCCTGGCAGTGGTAGGGTGGCGGCAGGAGATCTATACCTCGAACGCACACCGACTGCCTGCCTACACCCTCCAGCGCCGCTAGACAATTAAATCCCGCTTGCAGCCGTCGAATCACTTTCCAAGCCGGCCCTCCTCGTTGAAAAAAAAAAAAAATCCCTCTGCTCCGGGGGATGGATGCAGCAGGCAACGTCGCCATGTCGCGTGTCGCACAGCCAAGACGGGGAGAAGTGCTTCCTACTGCCTGTGCGTGCGTACTCGAGTCCTGTCATGGAGGTAAAAAGTACCTACCTTGTGTAGGGTAACCTAGTCGCGCTGTCGTTCATTCATCGCGTCATAGCTTTCTCCCCACCCAGGCTGGCCTCCGCAGATCCCATCCTCCAGGAAAAAAATCTGAGCTCAACTTGCAAACACGAGTCGAGGCCACAGGGGAGTTCGGTCGCCTGACGAGGCAGGGTGCCGAGTCCGCAGCCGCGGACCGCGTACGACAAGGGTGCCCCAGAGAGAGACCAAGGTCTGGTTCCTCTGCGACTCCGTCCCCGCTGGGGGGAGCTGCAGGTCGCCGTCAACCAGACCCAGAAGCGTGGGGCTTGTCAAGCATGTGGTACACCCTTCCTCTCCCAAAAGCTCTGACCCCTCACAAAATGTAATGTAGGGTACCGCAATGTCATCTCGACGAAGCGGACGGGTGGGTGATTCCGTGCAGATGCCTAGGTATTTAAAGGCTCCCGTGTTCCCACGATCGTCTGGTCGGAAAAGTCCTTGAGCGACACGCACGTGGACGTCATCCCTCTGTAGACGACACCTCGAGCCCGTTCCTCTCTCTCACCCTCTCTCTTTTTTTTCTGTTTCCTTAATACTGCCTCTGGAGACAGTTGCATATTTGCGTCTTGACCAGTCAGTCGTCTGGGAGTCGGCACACACACCACACACCCAACACAGCAGAAAGAAAAACAGACACAAATATGACCGACACCAATCCCCGCCCCGCTGACCCCGTGGCCAAGGGCGTGCTGGCAACAGCGCGCCAGGCCTGGGGCGATCTCTGGAAATGGGATCAGCGCGTCGAGGTGGTCAACCAGTACGGCGAGAAGCGCACCGAATGGCACACGACGCCGCCGCTCAAGAACCCCGTCAGCCTGATGGCCCAGCTGTCGGCCAAGGACTGGCTCTTCTTCATCGTCGGCTTCTCCGCCTGGACGGCCGACGCATTCGACTTCCACGCCCTGTCCATCCAGACGGTCAAGCTGGCAAAGTACTACAACACCTCCAAGACCGACATCACCACCGCTATCACCCTGACGCTGCTGCTGCGGTCTGTCGGCGCTGCCTTCTTCGGTCTGGCCGGGGACAAGTACGGCCGCAAGTGGCCCATGGTCGTCAACATGATTGTGCTGGGCGTTTTGCAGATCGCCACCATCTACTGCCGCACCTTTAACGAGTTTCTTGCCGTGCGGTCCCTGTTTGGTCTGTTTATGGGTGGAGTGTAAGGTTTTCTCCCTTTCTCACTCGCCGCATCGAGCCCAGACTAACGAAGAAAAACAGCTATGGAAACGCCATCGCCATGGCCCTCGAAAACAGCCCCGTCGACGCCCGCGGCCTCATGTCGGGCATCCTGCAACAGGGCTACTCGTTCGGCTACGTGTGCGCGGCCTGCGCCAACCTGGGCGTGGGCGGCGGCGTCGAGTCGTGGAAGACGGTGTTCTGGATCGCGGCCGGAATCTCCATCCTCGTCGGCATCGTGCGCATGTTCTTCCCGGAGTCGCAGCAGTTCATCGAGGCCCGCAAGGCCGGCAAGAACTCGGCGAACCCGTCCGCGTTCTGGAAGGAGACAAAGGTCATGCTGGCGCAGGAGTGGAAGATGTGCCTGTACTGCATCGTGCTCATGACGTGGTTCAACTACTACAGCCACACGTCGCAGGACAGCTACACCACCTTCATGCTGTCCGAGAAGCAGCTGGACAACTCGGGCGCGTCGCGCGCCTCCATCCTCATGAAGGCCGGCGCCTGCGTCGGCGGCACCATCATCGGCTACGCGTCGCAGTGGCTGGGCCGTCGCCGCGCCATCATCCTGTCCGCCATCATCAGCGCCTGCCTGATCCCGGCCTGGATCATGCCCGCCGACGAGCGCAGCCTGTCCGCCTCGGGCTTCTTCATGCAGTTCTTCGTCCAGGGCGCCTGGGGTGTGATTCCCATCCACCTCAACGAGCTCTCCCCTCCTGCCTTCCGCTCGTCGTTCCCTGGTATCACGTATCAGCTGGGCAACATGATCTCGTCGCCCTCAGCCCAGATCGTCAACGCCATCGCCGAGAGCAACTTTATCCGTGGCCCCACCGGCAAGATGGTCGAGGCTTACGGCCCCACCATGGGCATCGCTACTGCTATCATCGCTGTGGGCATTGCCGTCACTACTGCGTTTGGCCCCGAGAAGCGCGGTCGCCAATTCGAGAAGGCCTTGCCGGCTGGCCACGCCCAGGTGGTAGTTGAGGACGCCAAAATGGCGGAGGATGACCTCGAGGCTGGCAATAACAGCAGCACCTCGGACAGTGCGGGCGAGAAGGCCCAGGAGGCGGCGGGCGGCGCTCACGTCGAGAGGGCGTAACTGCCGGGATGTTTACGACTTGGTTAAGGAATTATAGGGGGATAATTGTCAGGGAGTGGGTAGGGCTAGACCTTACTAGAGCGTAACGAACTAGCTCATATACATGTCTTTCTGTCTGATATCACCACCAGCTTGTGGGACCTTATGTTCGCATTTATAGCTGAGCTAAATTATCGTCCAGTCTAATGATAAGTGGACCTTGTCTTGTTCCTCGGTGCCTAGAATATCAGTCCAGCATGCCTGCCCATGGCATCTTTGCCGGCCTGCCTCCAATGCCGACGCCATCTCGTTACTACGTCGACTGGTC